GTTCAAAAACGCAGAATGAATACATCCCAAATTGTTGAACATCTACTTAAAAAAAAAATCAATTTATTTGAAGATTTGCTTTGTTATTGTTGTTTTCTACATTGTTTAAAATATCATTCATAGAGTATTATAGCGAGACAGAGGGAGTTCAAGAGAAAATTACTTTGCTACATTCGGTAGATATAGTTTTAATTATTATAATATACCTTCGTTCAGTAAATAGCTAAGATAATTTAAATTCAAAGAGTCAAAAAAATACATACTTTACCAATTACCACACAATAACCGAAAAACAATGTTATTTAGATACTGATGTTGAATTTACATACGAGTATTATATGCATGAGTACAAAACGAGTGTCTACAAAGAAGTAATCTGAATTTCAAAATCAAATGCCCTAAAATCCCAACAGTTTTGAATCGGTTGGTTCTTTATAGCGTTGTTTTCAAATCCACTTTTGTTTTTATCTTTTTACTTTGTTATTTTTTCTTTGGGCTTGATTTTCTTTTGTTTTCATTTTTATTTTTGTTTATGTTAGAGGTCTTTACCTCCTAGGAAGGTCAATTCCTCTTTTGGATTCTTTTTTTCTCATTATCTTTGTTTTTTTTTTATTCTGTGCTCAAGGTTTTTTAAACATTCTTCATTCGGGTTGTAATTTTTTTTTTTTATTTTTCCGTTCTTTTATACCCTGCATTTTGTTGTCAAACATTTGAAAAATTCCTATTGGGAAGTTGAACTACCGCAATTACATCGTAATATTCTACTACATAAAATTTAAAAGGCTTAAACATAAATTTATAGGCTTAAAAATTTTATGTAAGTAGTAGAATACTCGCAAGTATCTAAATCAAATACAATTAATTCAGGTATTATTTTGTTTTCATTTTTACTAATAGGTCTTCTATTGTAAGGTTCGCTAATCCGAAAAATAATGGCCAACTTTGTGTGTTTCAATCTTTTAAAATTTTTTATGTTGAAATACATTATGCGGTATATAATTATGAAATACTCTGTAATATAGATCTACACACATTAGAACCGACTTTTCGAGAATATTCAAATCAAATAACTAACAGGGCCAGCATTAACCTAATAGTTCAAGATTAGGCCTTGGTAAGAAGAAGGAAACATTCAAGCAAACAATAAACTTAGGTACATTCGTTCCCGTATTTATTTATTTGACGTAACATTAAAAGTATATAATGTTTAATATCCAAAATGAATTCCTGAGTGGAAAAAGGTCGAAAATGAAAGAAGAAATGTTTTTGCTGATATCAGAAATAATGAAAAACTTACGTACTATCAAATTTCAAATTTTAATGACATGAAAGTGAAGACCAAAAAAAAAATGTTCAACTTGTCAATGACCTAATTTAGTGCAAAACAAGTTCATAACGTTCCGTTGTTGGGCAAGAAAGTGTGTAATTGCACTTTTATTTCTGCATGCACAACAAACACAACTGCATACACTTACTAACACTTGTATGTGCTAAAGTTGACATCTTCTTATGCGCTTTCATTTTGTTTTAAAATGTATTTGAAGTATTTTGACTATACTATTATTATTATTTTTTCTTTTTTTTCTAATTAATGTATTCAAGAATTCTATCTGCTTATATATACATTTTTAGTTTAAAATAAAAATACTATTTTTTTTAACAAAATTTATTTAAATCAATATGTTGTAAAGCTGGCATTTAGCTGTCGAAAAATTTTTAGGTTTGAAAATATCAAAAATAATTTTATTTTAAAAACGAGATTCAATTAAAAAAGTTTTTACAAAAATTGGGACAATACTAAGGTTTCCTCTTAGTCGCAAAATCATTGCCTTTATCACGAGTTTCTGTTTCCATATTAAATCTCAGTAAGAATTTCTGAGCCTTAAGTAAGTATTTCCTCCATTTCTGAAAAATAATTCGGATTGCATCAAAGCTTTGATAATTTACATTATTATTCGATAGTTAATGAAGCAGGAATTCACTACAGTATTATTGCGCACCTTAACATACATATGTTTATATTTATTTTTACAATTTTCATTTTGCTGGTGAGATAGAAATTATTATAGTTATTATAGGAAAAAAAATTGGAATTTCTGTAACAGAAAAGTTGCCTAACAACATTTTTTTTAACAATAATTTTTTAAATTTTTTCTCTATCTATTTTGTTTTTGAGTTACACTTATGTGTACGTACGTATGAACATAAGTATACCGAAAAATTATCTGTTATTCACAAAATACGTAAATATGTGTGTAAGCAGTTATTTTTTTTGTTTTCAATTGCTGAAAAACACCTACATATGTACTCACAGACATCTTTATATGGGAGTCTATGATGTGCTACAAAAAAGAAGGTTTTTAATTTTATTCTTTTTGCCTTTTTTTGTAAAATTATACAACAAAACCTTTACAGATGATCAATTTCGGTTTTTTTTTGCATTTGCTTTGCATTGTACATACATACATATGCATATAGTTTCAAGCTAACCTACAGAGTGTATAAGATTAAATAAAATAAGCTTATTACATTTTTCGAAAATTTTTCGCTTTTCTGCCAATAATAGTATCTGTCGTTAATCTTATATTTTGTATCCTCAATTGTTTTGTGTCCCATAATTCAGTAATGTGGGTTTTAATTGCTAATTGTTTGAATTTTAAATATACATATATGTATATGTAAATATATATTAGAAATTACATTTTTTAAGTTTTCTAATTTTAGAATTTAAAACTAGAAATTTAAATTTAATTATATTGTTTAAAATAATTGTCTTTTAACAACTAGTAAAATAATTGTCTTTGCCTATGTTTAATTCATGTGTAAAACTTTCAATTATGTTAGTCTTATTTAACATTTTTATTAGCATGCCAAGCAGAAAGAAGTCAAATTATAACGGTAACTGTAAAGGTATTCATACACATTTTATTATTCAAATTTTCTTTTTTTGATCTTAAAAGTTAAGTTTTTCGCCAAACTCTGATTTAATGTACATATGTTTGTATCTAGTTCTATAATTTATTTAAATATTAAACATTTAGTTCTAAAATAAACGAATATTTTTTTTGTTCTTCACAATATTAATTTTTTTTATATCACAGTCAGCGTTCCCACTTGGATACAATTGTATCCATTTGGATACATTTTTGCTTTAAAATTTAGCTTGGATACAAAGATACTCAAATCTGCTAAAATGTCGAAATTGGCTACATTTTAAAATTTTGCTGAAATATGGATACATTTCTTTCTCGAACACTAAATAAATGTTAGAAAACTTTTAAAGTGTTGTAACTTTTAAGTGCATTATCTTCCAAAAAATGTTATTTGCTGACTAAATAAAATTTGCCCGTTTTCGTGCTGAATAGTTTTTACCGCATAGTTCAACAGCTACAGAACATATATTTTCTGACCTTAAATTTTAAAATGTAATAGAAATTGCGTGTGATTTCTAAAAGAATTTACTATAAATAACGAAACTTACATTGTTGAATAAAACAAATTAATATTATTTATGAGTTTATTGGTATAAAATAAGGCGATTTAGTATAATAATTCTACTTTAGGAGGCTGGATACATTTTGGATACATTTTTTTTTTGAAATTGGATACATTTTGTTTTTATTGAGTGGGAACACTGATCACAGTTTTACAATATTTGCTAAATTTCGCAAATCATCACACGCGTTTTTTCAAAATTTCGTAGCACCTACCTTACATATAGCTTTTTTGTGTAATATATAGACAAATAATATTGCCTTGATAATATGTACAACTGCGTGCAAAATGAAATAGCAGTAGTATGGTGAAAAGTTTTAAGTTGAAAAATTTACAATTTTTTTTTCTTGTACATGTGTATGTGTATAATTTTGTTTTAAACATTGAATATTATTGACGCGTGTATACTTGTGTTGCCGTTTTAATAATAATTTGTATGTTTTGTATGTGTATGTGTATTGTACGGACACGTAATATTATGTATTTTATAATGCGCAAGAAAAAGGCAAAAACAACATAAAAAATTACAAAAAACAAAATTAAAAGAAGAGAAGGAAAAAAATGTAGGGGAAAAATACAATACCCGTTATTTAAGGAACAAATTTTAATGATTTATGAAACTTTATCGAAAAGGAGCAAAATTAAAATCGAAAAACGGAACGAATGTTTGTCTCCATGTGGATCGTTCAAAAACATTTGACGAATATGTCACATTAAGAGCTAGAATAAGGCATAGTCATGCTATGCTATTCTACATTCTATGTTCTCACCTTATATACTACATATGTACATACATGAGTAGTTCTTATAAATATTTGTGTAAAACGATTTCTTAATTTTCTTTATTTTTAAGGTAACAGAGTTTGTTATTATTTGTTAGATCTATCCAACGAACATTCTATCATCAATAAGTTTTTATTTAAAATTTACTATATATTTTACATCACCTCTTCAACAGGTTTTTTTACTAGATAAAATGGCCTTTAATTGTAATAATTGCATTTTTTTTTATTATAGAAATATATAAATGCAGCTGATTTATTATTTCTTTAATCAAATTTTTTCAATTTGGCATAAATTGGCTTTTACAGAACGCCCAGATTCTTACTGTTATTGACTACTGGACTAACTCACTTATTGACATATCAAAAGTAAGTAAATCATATGAGTACACACATAATGTATTTGAAATCTCATTCTAAAGAACTAGAGAAGTCCTTAAGGTTTGGTAGATTGTAGCTTCGTCCTCATCATTGCGAAATTTTCCACAGTTTATGGACATTTTCACATGTTATTTTAAAGCAGTTTAGCCTTTTGATGAATGAAATAACTTCATCCACGAGCTTTCTAATTCTTTCCTCTGTTTTTGTATGACAACATATTTAAATTCACGAAATTTAATTTTTTGTTACTATGGAACAAAACAAAGTTTAAAATGAACAAAATGTACATAGTTTGTTTTTATTATTAAAACTAATTAAATTTTTATCTTTTTTTACTTGTAGATCTGTGGAGCAATTTGTTAACTGTGGCGCTGCTTTACTTCTAATTTGTTTAAACTTAACAAATTTTTCATCAAAATAATATGTAAACAGTGAAACATAGCAGTGTTATAAAAAATAAAGTTTTAAAAAACTATTTAATGTTAATTAGTACGAATTTATAGAAAAAATTAACAAAATTATTTTAGAATTTTTGAAGTAAAAAACAAAATTGAAATTTATAAACATATTAAGAAATAACTTTTAATAGCGCTCAAACAAACGCTGTCTCTGTTATAAATTTATTTAAATCTAATCGTAAATATTATAATTCACAGACATTTGTAAAAAGTACATAACATTTCAAATATTATTTTGTTATTAGTATTTAGAAACATCAAGCAAAATAACAGCTACATCATTTTGAAGTTTAAAAAAAAATTTTCGCTTTTGAAAAGGCGAATTAGTTATAAAAATAAAACAAGGTTTAAGAAGAAATTTTAGAAAAACCAAATTTTATTAATGAAAACCATCGAAGTAAAATATATAAAATAAAAAAATATACAAAACGAAAATAGTGAAACAGCTTAAAAATAAATTGGAAAAAGGAATATATAGAATAAATTCTCAAGTAATAACGGTTCGCAATATTTTAATTTTTTTGCTGTATTTCTAAGACATAAAATAATTACAACACAAAATATAAAATATTTAGCATTTTTGGAAAAAAATTTTTAATCATTAGAAACAAAAAGAGTAAATTTCTTACAATAAATTCTCAAATTAATTAAATGTAGAAATATTTTAACAATTCAATTTTAAACAAATATTTTTTTATATTTTTAATTTTTTCTTTTATTTAAAAATCTTTTGTTTATTAAGACTTTGTTGTATTTTTGAAACAGAGCAAGATTAAGAAAAACTATTTCAAGACATTTGAATACCAAAATATTCGTTCAACCTTGTGTGCAAGTCTGTATAATTATTTAATTTACAATTTCTTATAAGTCTGCTAAATATTATTCAATATTAAAACAGAAAAAATAAAAACAATTTTATTAAAATATAATACATAACTAAAGATAAAAAATAAAGTTAATGAACATAAAATTTGAAAATTGCAAACCGAATTGTTGCAAAAGAAACAAAAATTTAAATTTTTGTTTAAATAATTTTATTTAAACAAAACTTCTTATACTTTTTACACATATTTTTATATATGTATGTACATATGTATTAAAATATGTTTAAAAGTATTATATAAAATTATATATAAATATGTATGTTTATATATTAAAATAAATATATATATATATACATATATATATAAATAAGTATTTTTGTGTATTATATAATTGAAAAAAGTTTTCTTCTCAGCTCATTGTATGAAAACAAAAACTAAAAATCATTATCGTATAAAAAATTCGTATTATAATTAAAATTTGAAGTGAAATAATTATTTGGTAAAAAAAGTATATTAAAAATTCTGTTATATTTAAATTAAAATTTAATAATAAAATATAAGATTAAAATAACAATATTTAATTAAAAAAAGCAAAAAATAAACATATATAAAATTAAATTAAATAATGGAACGTGAATCAAACCCAATGCAACCGATGTGCCGTTCTGGATGCGGTTTCTATGGAAATCCAGCTACAGATGGACTTTGCTCAGTTTGCTATAAAGTAAGTCTTTAGTTTGCAAAACAATGCCAAAAGATTCAATGTTGATCCTAACAATGATTTTCAATAAATTAATTTTTTTTTTTTATTTTAGGATTCCTTACGAAAAAAGCAACAACCACCAGTTAGTAGTACGCCTGTAACGGTATCAAGTCCACAAACACCTACTTTCAGTCCAGATTTAACAGTAACTAATACAGCGCAACCGACAGTGCAGAGTTATATCCAGCCACATAATGAAGTTAAAGATGTAAGTATAATAGATTTTATTTCTTTTTTTTTTTTGTTACTTCAATTTACTTATCTGAGTTGATATTAAACTTTAAATTGTAAATAAATATAATTTTTAAGTACAAAGAGTAGACAATCAAATTTCTATCAAATATCAAATTTATAGAATAAATTGATCCCAATTTCCAATGTTTATTTATGATCATGGAAATTTATTTCCATTGAATCTTTTTGTATACTATCACAAGATGCCTTGAAATATATTTTTTGACAAGAATACTTACCAAAATTTTACAAAAATTATAAATGAACAATAAATTGATTTAAATTAATTTCGGAGAAAAATTTGTATTGTAATATACACAATGTCATTTTCAAAAAAAATAACAAATGTAACAAATATGTATGTAAATATATATTATTAAATATAATAGTTTGACATAAAGTATGTAGTGTTAAATTGTAAATTTTATTAAGATGAGAAGAACACAGAAATTTGTAATTTTTGTTTAATCAATTCAACATCAAAAATTTGTTTTTGTTAAACAATTTTTAACAAAATTTATTAGTGATGAAATTACGAATTGATTTCAAATTTAAATAAACTTTAAAAACTTGTAATTTTCGTAGTGAAAATTTTATAAGTTATTTTTTCTGATCCATACGTCTTTGAATAAAATAATTTTTAAATTTTAGTAAATTTTGTTTACTTTTAAAATAATACTTATGTATGTACACACATTGTACCAAAAAATATTATATTAAATTAAAGTTTAAAGAAAGCTCCTGAAAAATCTTTCATTTCAAAAGAATATCAAGAATTTGCTATTTGATTTGCAATAATACCAAAACATTTTAACAACGTTAAATTGTCTCATGACCCTCTGACTGTGTTATGTTCATTATGAATATATAAAAAATGGCAGAAAACTCAAGTGATGAGAATGAAATAGATCCAACTTCTGAACAGCGAGAAGGTTCATTATAAATGTATTCGCTAAATTAGAATGGTAATTTAAAATGCCTTGATTTCTTTATGATATATAGGGATTAATAAAAGAGAGAATAACAATGCTGACAAGTTAAATAACGATAACAGAAAAAGCAATAAAGTTAAACAAAAAAACCGAAATAATGAAAAAACATCGGAAAAAAATTTGAATTATTTTAGTTCTAATCACAATAACTTGAAAAGCAAAAATTCTAAACGAAAATTAAAAGATTCCACAATATCAGTGATTGAAAAAAAAGGTGTAAGTTTTCTTCATCTTTCGCTGCATTTAAAAAAATATATATTTTAATGTTTAAAGACGATATAGCATCCACAAAGTGAAAAAAGATAAAAAACTATATCTAATAAATATCAAGAAATATTAGGTACCAACCATTTAATCGATTTGTTTTTTTCTTAGAAAACAACCGATGAGGCTAGTAAAGATAATGTAGCGTCAACAGCTGGACCTTCAATTTCAACTAATGAACAAGAAGATAAAGACGATAATAAAGACGGCCAAAAGAAAAAAAATCGTTGCGTTACTTGTCGTAAGAAGGTCGGATTAACAGGTAATATAAGTAAATTTTAAATTTCGAAAAAAATAATCTACTTTTATTGTCTTTTAGGTTTTGAATGTCGATGTGGAGGTCTTTTTTGTGCTGTACATAGATACAGTGATAAACATAATTGCACATTTGACTATAGGGAACATGGGGCCCAAGAAATTAGACGCAATAATCCCGTAGTAGTTGGCGAAAAAATTCAAAAAATTTGAACTTTTATAATATATGTGCCATCAAAAAATATAATATAAAATTAATACCATTAATATAAAAAAAGCTAAAAAAATTAAATAAAATATACCTTTTATAAATAGATATGTATACCAACATATATATGTATGTATATATAGATATATACCTGTATAAATATATATATAAAATTCAAAATAATTTACTATTACAAAAAAAAACTGAAATTTATTTAAATTAACTGCAACAAAAAGCTAGAAAAAGTTTCACAGTCACATGAATTATATAAAGCTGTGCTAACACTATACCACTAAGTATTATAATTTATAAAATTACTTACAATTAGCAATTGGAGACGAAAACACTGATAATTTCTTCACAGTGTAAGCATCGATTAGTTATTGTTTTATACATAGCAGAAAATAAATTAATAGTGGATTTTTGACAATTGGAAATATCTATTAATACATATTAACTAATCTATAAAATTAAAAGAACTATAACAAAATTTAAACATCAAAATTATATTAATTAATGGTATAGTGTCAATTTGGCTTTACATTGCTCGTCTAAATTTAGTGGAAAACAAACAAAAAATTCGAAATAAAATTTATTTTATTAAAATTGTTTAAAACCAAATTTTTGAGAAATATGAAAAATAAAACATAACTGAAAACAAAATTATGTTATAAACTATTTTAGAAAAAAACTTAAATGATACTACAAATAAAATACACATAAAAACATAAAATATAGATAATAACTAATTATAATAATTTAGGGTAAATATATTTGTATATGTATATCTAAATTCAATAATATTCGGATGCAACAAAACATAGAAAGATGTGAAACATTTAATTTTTCTAGGGAAATATTTACGGAGACAGAAAAAATTATTTGCTGTAAAATTAATTGATATCATCACGAAAAAACATTTTTTTAACGTGTGCTTCAAAATTATTTTTTGTATAATAACATGTTTTAGCGTTCTGCATTTTTCCTTAAAAATAAAATAATTATTAAATTGTGAATTTATTTTTTTAATTGGAAATCCATTAGTGTAAAACAAATGTACATTGCGAGTTTGCAACGAAATATGTAATGATATAGATGTACCGTCAAAAAAGAAAATTTCAAATTTTCTCAAAATATATACTGTTTTTAAAAAAGACGCACAATTATACTAAATTTTGAGATTAATAACATTAAAAATTTTCAAAGAATTAGTCCATAAATTGCTATTAATCTTGAAAGATTGAAAAAGGAAATAAAATATTTATTATTTTATTTTTAGTTAATTAATATTTTTTCTAATATTAATTATTTAATATTTATTATTCAATTTATTCATAAAATGAATTTCCTTTGTATAACTCAATTTTTCCTGTAATTACTTACAGGAAAAATTGAGTTTTACAGTTTTACTACAGTTTTATCTTATTTTAATACATGTATTATTTTCTAAGTATCTCATAAACTCAAACATTAATCAAACAAAAGTAATAATGCATTCTGTCTCAAATTAAAACTCTTCAAGTAAATAAACATGAAATCTGTTAAAAATTGATTTTAATTTACTTTATTCTTATCAAATTTGTTTTTAACATTAGAATCTTTTTTTCTTTTACATGATAAGTAAATATTTTCTATTTTTTTCAATCACACTATAATTTTCACTGAAGGTGAAAAGATTCCTTCATCTTCCTAATAATGGATTTTCAAAATACATATACTTAGAATTTTCAAAAATGAAACAAAAATATTTGAAACCGACATGTTGTTAGCTTAATATTATATATTAATAAAAGCAAAAATATGTATTTCAAAAGGTTTTTCTTGCAGAATACTAAAAAATTTGCAAAAATAATTACTTTTCATGACAAAAAATCTTAAAAAACAAAGTATACTCAAAATATATTGGTGAGTGAAAAGCACAAAAAAAATTAAAAAGTATTTTGCTTTTATTAGCAGTGCTTTTCCGTTAGGCGCGACATAATTGCTCATTGCAATTGGATATATTCAAGAATTAATTTTTTTAAGCAAAAGAAGCATAAAAAAGTCGATTCCAGATTTTCAAATAAACAAAAATTTGTCGACTTTTTTGTCTACTTAAAGACAGTACAAAAGTGCGATATAAATATTAATAAAAAGTTCACAAAACTAAATTAAAAGATATGTTGTATAATTTACTCAAAAATAAAATAAAAAAATGACAGCAGCAGACAGCGTTTGTTTGAACCAATTGAAATTTTTGAAATGAATAAAATATGACATACCTCAACACCAGATAATTTCATTATGCACATGTATTAACTAAAACTTCTGTATCATTCAATTCCGAAACTGTTATATAAACACTAATTATAGATTCAAAACTTAAATGACCAATATGAGTAATACAAAAGTAGTGCATGAAATTAAAAATTTTACATTAAGTACAAACAACAGTCCTGGAGAAAAAATCATTAAAAAAATTCTCATTCAAAAATTAAATCAAAGTCATAAAATTAAACGACAAAAAATTTGAGAACTAGTAAATTTTCTATGTTTTTTTTTTTTTTTTTTTTTTTGGTTTTATGGATTTATTTTAATATCAGTTATTTAATAATTTGTTTAACGCTTTAGTAATGTTTTTATATAGGATATATTTTTTGAGTAGGTAAATATTTTTATTTTAACATTTAATATATAAATTTGGTATAGAAATTTTTGATAGTGTTTTCATGACTCACATTATATTAAAACTGGTTTTCGCAATTTTTGATAGTTAAAACGTATTTTCAAATTCAAAAAAATTATAAAGTTGCCTCATGTTGTATAATATATTCATAATTTGTATTTTATTTCGTATAATCAAAAAAGATGTAAATATAAAAATTTTTTTGTTTAATCTTCCTTTAAAGTGTTTTTTTTTCTTGTATCTCAAAACAAAGATCTATCATTTAAAATAAGAATCTGGGGGAAACTTCAGTGTATTGTAATTGACAAAAATTGCTATTTTGATGGAAATTTTTAAGTGAGCTCGTGATTGCTTTTATTTATTATTTTGAGTTTAGTTAATTAAAACTATTATACATCAAAATATTTGTTTATCGCAAAAAGATTAAAAAAAGAATAAAAAATTATTTTTTGTTGTAAAAAAATCGAAAATTTTAAAATAAGTAACAATTTTAATATACATTAATTGTATCTTAAATTAAAGGATTTAAATATAACTGATTTTCTGTCATATAATCATAATTTCTATTTTTTCTTCAAAATATACAATTTATTTAAGTAGTTTTTTTTATAGTAGTTTAGCTAAAACTTGTTAAAAATTTAAGTTTAATATTTTATTATCATTTGATTTGGAGAAAAAAATATTTTATTAAAAAAAAAAGAATTTATATACGTATATGTTAAACGTGTTTGCACATATATAAATGCATATTTTATATATATCCATATGCATATATGTGCATATACGTTTTATATATATATATATACATAATTATTGCTTACATGAATAGTATAAATAAAGGAAACTTATAAAAAAATTTAATGATTTTTACTTGCTATAATTTTGAAAGTAATAAATGAAAAGAAATTTTAATTGAAATAAAAAATGTATTTAAAAAGTTAATTAAAATAAATACATTGGTTTACAATTAAATGCAAAATTGATTTTTGAATTAAAATGCAAAAAAACATATATTTACATATAAACTAAAAGACCTTTTTTTATTTCTTTAATTATTTTTTATAATTTTAATTTTTTATGGATTACATAATTTGAAGACAATTTGAATTTGAAAATAATTGATTAACCGCAATTTTTATAATAGAATCTGAATTCTAATAAAACTTACACTCAAACAAGCTTTTTAATTTTTCTAGTATATTTTGCGTTTTAAGTATATCTAAACTTTTTTTTTCTTATCTTCACACAATATTTTTTTATCTGCTTCACAAAAATACTTCTAAAACACATTTAGATATACACATTACATTTGAAACACAAGTGTGGTATTAATTACAAAATACGGACTTACGAATTACACATGCATAATTTTTACAACGTAAAATAAAAAATTGAAAAAAAAAGTTCAATGGTAAAATGACGGTAGAAAATTTTGCAATTCTAGCATATTCCAAAAGTCGCAAATTCAAAATTTATGTAATCAATTGTATGATGTAATTAGATACTGAATCAAATAACTAATATTATAAATAATAAAATAAAGGTAATATAAGAAAACAATAAATAATATTTACTAATATAAATTATAAAAAAATTAATAGTAATTGATAAAATTAATTAAAAATAAAACAAAAAATATCCTCCTCAACGCGTATTGTATTTTATCTTAGGGTTTATTTTTAATAATAAAAACAAAAAAAAAAGAAAAATTTATTCAAAAAAAATTTAAATAAAAAAAGTAAAATAAAAAAAATTGAAAAAAAAAAATTGTAAAAAAATTGACTTATAACAGTAAAGATAGGATATATTATGTGAATTTGAAGCTACTTAGGCAGAGAGTCTGGTTCTGTTCATTATTTTGTCTGATTGAAAATTTTCAGCCGGAATTCATTTATATTTTTTAGCTGCTTCCAAAAAAATGCAAACAGAATACAGTCGTAATATGTACTCAATGAGCTATACAAATAAATATAATATCTAGATAAAAACATGTACAACATGTACAACAATGCCGAATAGTTTCACCCAACGTCGACGACGAATAAAAAAAATTTCAAATAAAAAATTTGACTAACATCATTCTTCTTTTCTTTTTTTAAAATGCCTCTTTATTATCAGAATTGCTCATGATTTCCTTTGCATTGATTTTTTTTTATACTTATGTCATTCAATCTATTATTGACCATTGAACTCTGCAATCGTGGAATGTGTCAGTATTTTCTGCGTGTTTTTTGCTGCTTCCTTTTCTCTTAGAAAAATTTCTTTGACTTACTTGAATTAAAAACCGACTTCCAAAAGGCGGCATTACATAATCTAGTTTATAAGTGAAGATGTTTAATTACCATTTAATATTGTCTACTCAAATTATTATCAAATAATGAACATGACCAGAAACAATGCCCTCAGTATGATCACAGTTTGCATATATCCAACTTTTAAATGTATATGTAAATGCATACTTATACCTATGAAAATATTATTATTATATAATATGATAAAAGTAAAATGTCAAAAAAAAAAATATTTTATCATTATTATTTTTTCTTTGTCTTAATTATTAAGTAGCTTTAATTTAAATAATTATTGAATAAAATAAAAAAAATGTAAAAATGAACTACATTGTGTATTTATCGATAATTTGACACAGTTCTTCTTGTAGTTAATTTGAATGAAAATGCATTTTACCTCTCTAGTGGAGTTTAAAATCAATTACTCGTTTATTTTACAAATGAATTATAACAAAAATTTCATTTAAATAGGAAATAAAAACAGACAACAATTTTTTAAATATACATATAATAAATATTAAAAAACATTATATGAAAATTAAACAATAAACCCCAACAGAAATTAACAAAAACAGAAACTACTTTTGCCTCGATTGTATTACCCAAGACTTATATATTTTTTTTAAATTTTTATTGACAAATGAAGTTATCCACCCATATTCTCGTTGTTAGTCGCATCACTCGAGGTGATAAATATAAATTTAAAACTTTTGGAAATGATTTTAATTTGAACAACTCAAAATTTTTTAATAACAACTCATCATGTGAAGAGGTGCAACTAACAGAATATTGGATGATTATTGCGAGAACAAAATATTTCTTAGTAATGTTAATTGATTCCGCTACGGAGGAAAAATGCGTAAAATTTATTGAATTTTTTAAAAATAAAATATTTGAAAAAAAATACATATTATGATTATTATAATAAAATAATAATATCTTGTTTTGTTTTTTCATTAGTTTATGTTTTTAAATTTAAAAATAATAAAATTAAAACAATTTAATTATTAAATACATACTCTCCTTTTATTTTTTTTATTCTTCCTCAGAATTAATGTGAGTTTTTAAAAAGCAAAAAAATATACATATATACATACTTATATATTAATAAATATATATAAAATTAAAAAATAAAAAAAATAAAAAAATCATCACTAAATAAAAAAAGTCTATTAAACTGATTTTATTTAACAATTTATAATTAATTTTCAGATTTATATATGTATTCAATTATAGTTCAACGGATTTGCCAAAGTAATGTGATTTGCTTTCTCCCTACTCACAAAGCTCAAGTTACATATATCTTTATACCAGTATATTTTTTATATTGATTCTACAGTACTCTGTTTTTAACCGAACTTTATTTCAAAATTTTAGTAATACAGTTTGGAAACATAATTCAGCAATTATTATGCCTGTTCCAATATCCGTCATAATGCTTTTGGTAATGCCATAAAACCAAAATACTTCTCAATAATACGAGTACCCCATCACCTCAAGAGATACGATGAACAGAATATTAGTATAAATATGCCAATTCCAAGATGCATCGTAATATTGTTGCGAACTACGAATTAAAAATTGTTACGAACTACGAATAAAACACTTAAATTTTCGGAGTTCAAACGTAAACTTGCTTACTGGTAAAAAATTAAAACAAAAAAACAGTTTTGATACAACGAAAGCAAAAATTATTTCAATTTAAAAGTGAACAAATAATATTGGTGTTATTAGTATATAAAAAAAAATTTATTCAAGTAAGCTATTTAAACAAAAGAATATTTTGGAAATGCTCTTCGGAATAACGTGTATGGAAGAGGAAGAAGGATTGGAAAGATAGTAAGATCATAATAAGGGCTTAAGGGATACTTTCATCCTTTCAACATGGATGATATTTTGTAAGTTCTAATAAGTTGTAAGTTTTTTATTAAATTTTAAATGAACTTGGAATTGAGTTGGATTCAGTAACTTTTTATATTGAATTGCACACATTTTCTTATAAATTACAGTAACTAAACTTACATTTTAATAATTTTTTGATTTCTTTGTATTATTTATTTTTAAAACTTAACTAAAAATGACAACCGATAATAAAACAACTAGTTGCGAATTATTTACGAAGAATGTTTATTCGTAGAATTTGCCTATTAACATTTGTTAAAAAGGGTTCTTAAAATATCAATTCATTCGTAACTTCTGAGAGTAAATTTTGAAAATTTTCGAACCAAATACCAAATACCAAAAGTAATGCCATATATATCTATCAGGCCTCCAAGCTGAAAATATTTTCCGAAATTTTTAATCGGAAAAAAATACAAAAACCATTCTTAATGTTTTATGTTTTCGAATTATGCAGTAAGCAAGTTTACGTTTGAACTCCGAAAATTGAGAAGTATTTTGGTTTTCAGTATAAATTTAAAACTTTTGGAAATTATTTTATTCTGAAAGAATCAATTTTGAATAACAACTCATCGCTTCAAATGAATAGAGAACTGATATTACTACACAATTCGTAGGTGGAATTGTGTAGTAATATTCAACCATAAATTCCACTCGTGGAATCTTACGAACTACGAACTTAACTGACGTAACGTAGTCTTACGAACTTAACGTAGACTTTGGAATGATCACAAATCCCTTTCGTATAGATTATTAATCAACAATGACAGCACTATTTTTCAAGGTGTCAAAGTCAATACTTTATTTAAACTGTCAAATGTTTATTTATTATGTTTTTTTGTTGCTATTTGAAAAAAAAATTTCCATGTAAAAGGGTATATGTTTTTTAAATATCCTTTTTTATATATTTTATTAAATTTTAATATTTAATATTATTTAATTAATATTTATATATTTATTATACATTAATTATATTTTTACAAGTTTGTTGAATATCCTATTTTTTAAACAATAGTTTTTGGATTATTTTGAAAAGTAGAAAAAAAATGTTTACCAAATATAAATTAATTTCCCTTTATGCTGGCTGTGTTAGAGTAATTCAAACTCAAACAAAAAAATTTAAAACTGAAAATTTAACACGACCGTTCTCTTTAAATCGCTTTTTACGTGTGATTGTTTCTTTATTAGACTTTAGGGGGTTATTTTAATTACGAACGTAATTTATGAATACTGTATAATAAATATTCGGAGCAGAATTTTAATAACTCGTAATTGACAATATTACATTCGTAACGTTCGGAACATTTCGAATTTCAGAGCTAAGAAATCCATGGTTGGGTTGAGCCGTTATTTCTCAATTTAATTGTACTACAAGTGTTAAAATTGTGACTGTCACATTTATTAGTGTTACAATTGTTTGTGTCACATAATATTTTTTTTGTATTCTGCTAGACAAGAAATGTAATGTGACAAAAAAAGCAAGACTCGAAAGGTTTGGATGTTAAATGGTTAGAAAATAAATTAGTGTAAACAAAAGTATAAATAACAAATTATAAATTAGAGAAAGAGGAATCTCTTCGATCTTTTTGGTTTTTGGGTAAAAGCAGAGGTAAAGAAAAAAATAAAGAAAATGAATATTTCTATTATATATATTATTATGAAAGAGGAAAATTCTGATTTGAAAGTTAATAAAAAGTGAATAAAAAAAGCGAAATACACGCTTAGGCTTATAGAGGCGTTTCTAGTAAGAAAGCAAATCTGTCACCTCATACATTTTTATATACGATGCGTCTGGCAGAATAAGACTGATTATTTCTCTACCATAATTGTTTTTGCTTAGAAATACAAGAGTTATAATAATAATAACGATTTAATTCTCCGACTACTAGCGGCAATCTGCGAACAGTTTTTCCAGAATCAGAAATTTATGTAAGATATATAAAAGCGGATATAAAGTTTTAGTTTTACAAAAGACATCTGAAGTACGGACGATGATTGACTTTTGTGTAAAATATCAAAAACAACCAAAATAAGTCCCAGAATCGCACGCTTGGAATTGGCAGTCGAAATTTATTGTACATTTAAATAAATGGAACCAATTTTTTTAACAAACTCATGCCGTATACCGTTTGCATTGAGACACATTACTTAAATCTTTATTTTAGCATAACATAGTGTTATTCATGTTAAATGTTAGTCGCGACAGTCACTGTGATATGTTTGCATATGCAATTTTGATTATCACGTGCATTAAGGTCTAACACTATTTGAAGCTATTTGACACTTGTTAACTACTATATGTTCGATATGTACTGTCAGGATTATAGTGAAAATCTTTTCAAGGTCTACTAGACAACATTAACTTTTAAAAATATGACGTTAACGAAAAGAAATCGTAGATCCATAAGGTTAATATTATCAGTCTAATATTGTTTTCTTCCTATCTATCTATTTTGCGTGAAAAATTTGTATTTAAATTTTTTGATGCAACTGATAAATTTTTGTAATAAAAATTTGTAAAATTTTCGTATTCACTCCTGTTGCGTCAGTTTGTATGCATTGCAACTTTCTTGCCAACAAAGAGCTTGTGTAAACGCTAGGCTAATAATCGGTATATTTTACAATATAAAATCTATATATGTAAAAGATCTGATGGTGACAGATTTTAGTCGGCCTTGTAAATTTTTAGACCATGAGTTTGGGTATCACGCTTTAGACAAAATAGAATATGAAATAAATATTTTATATTTTTTAAAATGAGCAATTTAAAATTATTTTCAAATAATTGTATAAGTTATTTGATTAAATATTCGATTCGAAATATAGGAACGTCATCATCTTTATATGGCAAACGAAACTTTAGAAAATTTTTGGTATTAAATAAAAGAGGAACAAGAATCTTTAAAGAACAACAAAAAATAAAGCCTCATCCGAAAATACCAATAGATAAGCGAGGTGTTCGAGACACCGGATTTGTCGAAAACGGGGAATTTAAAGAAATTCCGGAAAAAATTCCTTTATTAGTGGTACCAGACTTAAAGGATTGCAAATTAAAACCCTACGTATCCTACAAAGCTCCGGAAGTAGTTCAACCAGAATTCACGAGTATAGATCTTTTCAATGCCATATACGCTAACAAAATTGTTGATGATTTCGCTAAAAATAAGCTTGATATAAGTGGTAATCCTTTAGAACCAACAGAAGAAGAAAAATTAACTCCTGAAGAAGCATGGATAAATGCAAGAAAATGTGGATCTGACTTATTTTGAAATATTTTGTTTACAATTTATTCAGCAAATATAAATAAAAATCTTAAGTACTTTGTAGCAGTCTTTGCCTAAAATTGAAAAGCTTTTTCACCCATTTTTCAGATTTCTCCATTTCATCACCAAGGAACTAAGAAGTATACAAAATTATTTAACGATATTTGTAGAAATTCATGAAATTATTACATTAGGGTGAAATAAAGAATCATTTATTGGTTCCAAGTTAGTTGTCACTGTTGGCACCAAAATTGTTTCCTTTTTTAAGTCTATATAAACTTTTTGTGATGTTTTTTTATTACTGTTGCTAGATGTAAATACTTTTGACTCAAATTTATCACATTCAATATCATCTAATGTCTCCAAAGTTACTTTTCCTTCCAAAAGGTTCAAGTCAAATGTCTGCTTTACTTCATTTTCCACTTCTGAAATAGCTGTAGAGGCACAAGCAGTTTTTTTTTGCTTTGATTTGGTACTCTTGTAGCTTTCCTCACTAGTAGCACTTGTGGAGCTTGGACTCCTATGTAAACGCTTAGATTTTTTCGATTTTTTATCCCTCTGCGCCTTTAATGATTTTTTCTTTCGATAATCGTCTTCTGAAAATGAATTTGATCGTCTTCTGGAAGATTTATAGTTTACTTTGCTCCGAGATGACGAAGAAGGGGACCGACTTCGATGTGACTTTTTCTTTTCATAATAATCTTCGTCTGAAGATGTTCTAAAATTAAAACCAAAAATTAAATGCTAATTTGAAGGTTTTAATGATAATTTAATCTAACCGCCTTTTGTAGTCCCTGTCCCGAGAATATGAACGTGAGCTCTTATGTCTATTATAAGATGAAGATCGAGGCATTTCAATTGTATGTTTATCTCTTCGCAAGTGCAATCCTTAAGTTAATTATTGTGTTTAATTTACCAAACTATTGAATGAAAAACAAAGTTGAAAAACAGTGTTGCCACATTGACATTTTATTTGTCATTATGGCAATACTGTTAACATAATTTAATTAAATACAAAAGTGGGATTATTATATTAATATCAGACATCCATTGCTTAGAGCAAACATTAAGCATATCGCCAACAGGCGCAAATAAAACCATCATTTAGTCACAAATATGCAACTATCAGTTTTCAAGCAACAGCGTCATCATTTATAGGAAAGGGAGGGAAAAAGAGGGGCATATGTAGGAAAAAACAGGGAAAAGGAAAAGGGCAAGTAAAATAAAATGACCAGCCCAAAACCCCTCAAAGGAGTCATCTGCAAAACTATAAAACGCGGAACACACATCATAACCAAAAGCGTCGTTAGTCGCAACTAAAAAAAGTCTATTAAGAAAGTCATTATCGTAAACAATATATAATACATATAAACAAAAAAGGGTGTCTAAAGAAGAACATTCGTTCTTCTTTTATGTTTTTGAAATTTAATTTTCAACTTTTCTGCAAATTTAGCAAGAAATACAGTGAACAATTTTACTTATCTTAACTTAATTTTACTTTATATAAACGATCTTACTGATCGTTTATATAAGAAAATTAGTGCATTGGCAAGAGTTTCGTGTTAATTGTCATTTAGTTCTTCAAAATGTCAAACTACTGGGCATTTCAACTTAGGTGTTCTTATTTTTATTTTGTTCCATTTGATTAACAATTTCGGACAACATACTACAATAGCAAACTGAAATATTTCAGTGGATTAGTAAAACTTTTGTATTTATTACGATTTTCTTATGTAAACGTTCTGTTATGGTACTTAGTACCAACCATACAGCATAAAATATCTTAATTTATAGATACAAGGTCGAAAGGTGTATATGATGTGATATGAATATATATCACGGTTGACAGAAATACTTTTTGGAAATGTCAAGATCAAGAATTTTAAAAGTTGAATGTTGAATTGAACTAATGGGCTGTTCACATGACTATGAAACTGCGCTGCGAAAAACGCACAAAGTGTCACAATTTTATTTAATCCCCTGATTTAAATAGGGTATATTATATTTTTGCGTCACGTGACAACGAGAATCGCAGAATTTGGGAAAATTGAATATTTGTCGCTGCAATATGCATTGAAATTGATAGGCCGGCCTTACCCACCGGTGTTATCTTTTAATGGTTTTGCACCTTCAATATTCAGTACTTGCAATTATTATAGTTTTTATAAAAAAATTGTTTTGAGACTGGGAAAATCCGCTAATCTTACCCTCTCATAATTGTAGATTGAAGCTCATTGACATAACCACCTTGGCCAAAAAAAAAGAAATTACGAATGTTACATTTATTTCTCTTATTTTATAGATTATAATATTTTGTAATTAATGGGAAAAGCTACAATTATCCTACCTATTTTCTTTTTTTACTTTATATTAATTAAACTTTACAATATTTCTTTATAATGAATATAGTGGAGAAACAATATTTTTGAATTTTCTTTAATAGTTTCAAATAATGCCAGATATTTTTAAAATGTTCCCTATATTTATAAAATATTTATCCATTTTTCGCTTGTTCTTAAATACATACATTTAATACGTTTTACTGGAAAAACTATGGGAGATAGAGGAAAATGTTATATGGGTTCGCATCGAAAATAACAAAAAAAAAAAAGAAAAAATAATAAGATCATTCGAGATTTGTTAAAATAAAAATTTCGAGAAAAAACAAATAAAAATTCTGATTTTGATGAGCTGTATCTCTATATAAACAATAGTTCCAATCAAATTAATTGTAAGACTAAACATAAAGAATAATTAATCGCCTATAAAACAAGATCCTAACGATAACTCTATGTTGCATAAGTTATAAGCATTTACTCATATGCAGGAAAAGTAGGGTACCTTTTTTTGCAACAGGCTGTAGCTCAAAAACGAGCATATCTGTCATATTATATGACTTTGATTTATTAGTTTAAAAAGAAAAATTTATTTAATAATAAAAACGACTTTAGTTTTCCTAACTTTTTTTCTTAGCAAATACGTGTACATTTCATAAATAACACATAAAAGCAACTTACAAACGGCTTATAGTTTCATACTATCGTAAATTAAATATGCACACCCCTGCACACTAGCGTTTTCGATTTAATTAGTTTTCCAATATTATGTGTGTCCCCATTATAATGGAAGAAATCTATCAATAACTAACTTCAGTAGGAAGGTTGATATTAGAATCAGCACTAGTTTTATGTAACAAAGATTTTAAACCCTCCAAAAAATTTTTCGTGTTTTCTTCCAACATCCTCTTTGTGGTTTCCTCCAAATGCTTTTGCAATTGTTTTTCATGCTTCAGATACAAACTAAATTCGTAATCAATCAACCTCTTTTGGTCTTCGAAGAATTGTTTTGCAAGCTCCCGATTCTTTTTTATCCGCGTGCAAAATTTATTTTTAGTTCTGTAAGTTGATTTATACATCTTCTTTTTCAATCTTAAGCCTAATATATGAAATAAGCATTTATGATATAAAAAAAAAAACATATGCACACAAATTGTAAATTACCATTAATGCATTTTGTCGTATTACTTGTGGAAGAATCCTCCTTTTTGGAAAATTTTGGCTCAAACATAGCTTCTTCTTCGCTAGATACTGACGATGACTCCTCTAAAAATAGGTCCTCACCATTTTCTTCGATAAATATATCTGAAACAAACGTATTGAATTATAAACTTAAGTGCAAAAATTAATTAAAATTTTTTTGTTTACTTTTGGATGTTTTAGTATCGCCTGTCGTTGAATTTGAAGGTATCCTGTTATTAATCATGCTGTCTATTTCCTCAAAAAAGGGACACAAAATTATCTCATTACTATTTTTATTCATTCTTTTTACTTTACAATATTCTTTCTTCATATTTTTCCATCGATTTGCGATTTGTTTATCATTTTTATTCGCGAAACCTCTTCTTTTAAGTTCCGCTTCAATTTTTTTGTAAATTTCGGCATTTTTGTAATGTTTGCCATTAAAATGTTTAAGAGATTCTTGTTCTACCATAATGCTCAAAAGTTCTTTTGTTTCATCATACTCCCATATGTTTCTTTTAGTAGGCATTCGCTTTTCAATTTTTTCATATTCTTCTCTCATTCTCTTTGTATGAACTTTATTGCAGCTATCATCTTCAGACACCCCATTTTTAATTGATGCCTTAGATTGCTCTAGCATTCGGTTCAACTCATCATAAAAAGGACATACGCTCCTTTCATTACCATTTTCGATATGCATGTTTTTCACCATATTATACCTGTTTTTTAAATTTCTCCATCGGTTTTCTATCTGTTGGTTATTTTTGTTTGTATATCCCCTTTTCTTAAGCTCCGCTTCAATGTTTTTGTAAATTTCTGAATGCGTGTTTTTTTTTTCATTTAACAACTGAAGAGAATTCTGTTCTACCATTACATTTAATAACTCCTTTGTTTCATCGTACTCCCAAACATTAGTTTTACTCATTTCTTTGGTGTTTTATTATATGTATGGTCATGTATAACATAATTATGTTAAATTTTATACATCGCATATAAATACGATTGACGATTTTATGCAATGATGTTAGTTAAATCTTAATTATATGTTATATTAATGAAGGTTGAAATTGAATTGAACTCAACATTTAATTTCATCTCAAAGCAGGGTTGAATTTGAGTTCAATCAGGGTTCATGTAAAAACATAAACATATTATTAACCAAAGTGGATAATTAGTAGGTATATTTGGTATAAAATTTGAAAAAACTTTGACAATAGAAAACAATGACGTAATTTCTCGTAAAAAGACAAAAAAATTCTATTTTCAAAAAAAGTAAACCAGATAGAAAAATTGAAAAACTTTTAAAGCTTTATAAATAGGTGATAAACCTCAAATTTGAAAATGTTTTATGAAAATTTGGATTTTGTATTATGAAAGTGTGAAACTTAGCAAAAACCATTTGTGAATCCCTTTTGTTTATTTTAATTATTTTTAAAAAATTAAAAAAAAGGTTATTTTTGAGAAATAACCAAGAAAAACATACATTTTGACAGGTTTACGATTTTAAAAATTTTTAAAATTCTTAAATTCTGCTCTACAAAACTTAGAAAAATTTTAAACATTGAGAAAATAAGAATGTCATTATTTTTTCTCATTTTTGTTCAAAAAGTGTTATACCACCAGACAGTTTGCGTACAACAATTTTACGAACTTTGTGCAAGTTTCATAAACTGGAATATATTTGATTTATTTTACAGTAGCGAATACTTATATTTGAAATAATGGAATGTGAAATATTTATTACACTCATACGGTCGTGTAAGTTTGATTTTTGTTCAATTATTTTGATAGTGTTTCTGCTTCATAGATCAAAATCTTCAAAATAAATATTCCATAATTAGAAGAAAATAATTAAAGTAAATAGCAAAAACCTATTTATGCAGATTTTTCTAATCTAAGTTCCTAATAATATTACAAAAAAAACTAAAAAGAGCCGTTGTTTAATAAACGATACATTGAAAAGTTAAACTCCAAAGTTTATTAAATAAAAAACATAAGTAACGTTAGTTAAATTTTAATAAACATCTAGGCTAGTTTAAAAATAACTTGATTGAAAAATAACAGAGTTATTTTCTGACAACGTCAAATTATACGTTAATATTAACTGAACTTGTCAAATAATTAAATATGTAATAATTTTTGATGAAAAGAAAACATCACATAACAAAGCTTATTATTTTGATTGACGGTCATTTTCAACAAAAATACCGTTCAGCCGTTTAATTTTACTGGGCTGAATGGTATTTTTGTGGGACGTGATGGTTTAATTTTAATGGGCTGAATGGTATTTTTATGAGAAGTGTCTGTCAATCACTAAATAAAACAATTAATGAACATAAGTATGTGTGTATGTGCACACTTGTCAATTCGGTTATTTTGTTTTGCTTGCTGTAAAAATTTTTTTGATAAATTAAAAAACTTTGTTTTTTGGAACACTTTTTAGATATGTTTTGCTTTTAATAAATATTACAAATGAAATGGGGTTTGTTGAGGATAGTATTATAGTTTTTGTGTCACAGGTAAGTTTATTTAGCAAGTTATAATAAATCCTCTTCACCTGCACTAACTAAGTATATTAAGGATAATTTACAAGTATCGGTGAATGTAACGTGTTAAATATATACATACATACGTATGCTAAGACTAATTCTTATTTCAGAATATTTGGTTAAAAATACATAAATAATTAAATCTATGGTTTATATTTCAGGTATGCTTCTTTGTTGGCGGTTGGGTGTTTTTTGTTAAACAATTATTTAGAAATTACGAAATCCGCCATGTATCTGTGCAACTAATATTTTCTATGACATTTGCATTATCGTTAACAATGTTTGAGTTAATTATTTTTGAGATATTGGGGTTTTTGGAATCTACATCTCGATATTTTCACTGGCGATTGGGTCTCACATTTTTATTAATTATGGTAATAGCAGTCATTCCACTTTACATAGCATATTCATTTATCAGTAATATTTCATTCGGTAAGACATTATTAAATTGTAGATATTCTTTAAAGAATGTTAAATGATTTTAGTTCCTGAAAGATGGGTTAAATCGATAACAATATTTCTTTGGTTTTGCTATCTTTATGCATTTTGGCGTATTGGTGATCCTTTTCCTCTCTTGAGTGTGCAACACGGTATCTTTACCATAGAGCAAGCGGTATCCAGAATCGGTGTTGTTGGCGTTACCGTCATGGCTATTTTATCTGGTTTTGGGGCTGTTAATTATCCATATACTAGCATGGCGTATTTTATTAAGTAAATTTGATATAAGTCTTTAAATACATATTTTAATATTTTTGAAGAATTTTAGACCAGTATCCCCTCAAGATGTAATTAATTTAGAGAGAAGACTAATGTTAACCATGGATATGATTATAAATAAGAAAAAGCGAATTGCTGTGGAAATAAAAAAATCAAAAGAAAATCCCAATATGAGGCCTAGGCTTTGGAACATACTAAGTTCAGTTGCACAAAGTTACTCAGGAACAAGTGAAAGTGTGTTGTATAACAAAATTATAAAACAAATAACTTTTTTACGTCAAATTAATTGTAGATATCGGGCAGCTTCGTTTGGAGATAGCTGGTTTAGAGGAATTGTCTAGACAATTGTTTTTAGAAATTAATTCTCTTAAAAATATGCAAGAAAGACAGGTATGGGCTACAACTTTTCAAGGAAAATACTTCAACATATTGGGATATTTCTTTAGTCTTTATTGTCTATGGAAAATTTTTATAGTATGTCAGCATTCTGTATTCTTATTTTAATTTCAAAATTATGTTCATTATCAACGACTTTATTTTAGAGCACAGTAAACATCATTTTCGATCGCGTTGGTCGAAAAGATCCAGTTACGCGTGGACTTGAAATTGCAGTGCACTGGTGTGGATTTAATATTGATTTAGCGTTTTGGAATCAACATATATCTTTTTTTTTGGTTGGTTGCATTGTTGTTACTTCCATTAGAGGCTTACTTCTCACCCTAACTAAGGTAAATTTGCAAAACTTAAGCGTTACATGCATTATTAATTATTTGTAAAATTATTTTAGTTTTTCTATAAGATGTCATCTAGTAAATCATCAAATCTCATAGTTTTATTATTAGCACAAATAATGGGAATGTACTTTTGTTCTTCAGTACTGCTGATGCGAATGAATATGCCAGCTGAATATCGCGTAATCATAACAGAAGTTTTAGGAAGTTTGCATTTTAATTTTTATCATAGATGGTTCGATGTGATTTTTTTAGTTAGTGCTTTAGCAACAATTATTTTTCTTTACTTGTTAAGGTTTAACCACAGCTCAACGGATGATTAAAAAAGTAATTATTTTAGAAATTCTTAGATAGGTTTGCTAAAATTATTATGAAAATAAATTTCGAATAATGTTGTTGAAACCGTAAAGTAAATTAAATATAATTTATTAATATTTACTACAGTTTCTATAGAACTTTTTGTATGTATATATATATTCTTATGAATATGCATAAAATATTCTTTGATTTACCTTCCGCAACTTGTAAAATTTTAATGTTTAACTTAATTGTAAAGATATTTAAAATTTCATTTAGTGATGAAAAATAAATAAACTCTTTAATTATTTACATACATACATATTCTTATAACAATTGTGGCAAATGTGTATACATAATGTTAATTCATATTATTATAGTGTCACATGTGTTCAAAATTTAAAAAAACATTGCTTAATTCCGGTTCAGCCAAACATTGTATCATGTGAAACTTTTGAGTAAAAACTAAAAATAGCAATTGTAAAATATTTCAGGATAACTATATTCTAAATAGCTTTAGGAAGACTAATAGAAAACCAATATTAGATTTTTAGATTTCAATAAAAAATCATACAATTATTATGTTTTATATAAATAATTATATGGTTTTGCTTGGATAGAATTAATTTTTGAAGCACCCCTATAAACAATTTTGGAACCTTTTAAAAAATATTCCTAAAACAATATAATATTGAATTATATTACTAAGTATATAAAATAATATTATATTAAAATATCATTTATACTTTAAAGTATTTCTATAAAATAGTACTTTTGTCAGCTGTTGTTCATTGTCAATAGGACAATGTTAATAGTGTCTTTCATAAAATAGTCTTTGTATAGTATCCTTGAGTTCCGTAATGTGATACTACACTACTACAGTATTTATATTTTATTCAGACATTTATGATTAAGCTGAGTTCAACAACTTTAGTTCTAAGCTAAATCAGATCATAACTGCAACACGAAACCCAAGCTATTTAAAATTTTTATATAAAAATATAAATAATGTACATATTTATGTATAAATGTTGTTGCATTTCATGTACATATCTATGTATAAACATGAAATATGTATAAACGATCGTTTCAACCGGACATGGCTCGATCAGCTTTATATCTAAGTAAATACCGTTTAGGCTCGCAAATTCTTTGTTCGTGGTAAAAACATGCACGCATAGTATGCCGTAACAAATTGTCCGCCGTATGTTTCCTAGGCAGGTACAATTGTATGAGGTACAATTTCTATTTAAACCATTGAATTACAAACATATCGACATTTCGATATGACATAAAAGCAGACTTGATAGTTCATTTTAGGTGAAACATACGGGCTTATCAAATTTCGTTTGTAGCTCTGAAATTCAGAAAAATACAAATTACTAAAACTCTGCTCCGAATATTCGTAATAGTAATCGTAATATTAATCATATTCGTAATAGTCATCATAGATTACATTCGTAGTAAAAATTATACTCAAAAATCTGCGAAAGAAAGAATCACTCTTAACAAGCATTTTAAAGAAAATATTCGTTATTAAATTTTTAAATTTTGAAATTTTTTCTGCGCCGAAGTATGAGTCGTAGTTATGTTCGGAATTTGTTGGATTCCGCGAAGGGAATTCATGATAGAACTAATAACATTTTATACATTCATACAATTATACATATGTACGTGTTCTGATGGAAGTAAAAAAAGGCCAACTTTTAAAAATTAGTAATCTCGAATAACTAAATTTAATAAACATTTTAACTAAATTTCATAGAGTTGTGAAGCAGCATCGTATGTGTAAATGAAACTTTATTCATGGCTTCTGTTTAATCTGAATTCACATATATAATGTACGTTGCTAACAATAATAAATCGTCAGGTTTCACTTAATTTTTTCAATTGGAAACATGAAAATAGTAAAAAAAAAGCAAAATTTCTTTTAATTTAAAAAATTTCTTTTAATAAAAAAATTTCTTTTAATAAAAAAATTTTTTTAATTTTAAAAAGTTAATTAGGCATTAAAGAGACCAAAATCATCAATTTAGTTTACAATATTTTAAATATGGAATGCCGTTGGACAATAAGTTGAGGTTGAAGAAATAAAAATAATTCATAATAAAATTTGTTAATCGAAGTAGTATTAATACGTTAAAGCATCTGTTTGAAGGCACATTCAAAACTTAAAAAAAAACAATAGTTTTTTTTTTTAGCTGAACGGAATTATGAAAACGCAATCAAGTCGCAGCTATATGTTATACTTTCTGACAACAGAAATTAGAAGATTACAAGCGCTTATTCATGCACTGAATTGTTAAAAAAATTAAATAAACTTAATTGATTAAAACTCAAAATTTTAATTTTTTTTCAATTTATGTTTAATTTGTATACTTTAATAATGAAAATTATTTTATAATGTTACAACTTTAGTAAAATATTTCCGATTTTCTTATTCTACACAAATTTTCAATAATCTATAATAAAAATTTTAAACTAAATATGAAGTTAAAAATGAACAGATTTTTATATTTTAAAATATTTTTGTTTAGTAAAATATAATAAAATATTGTTTATTTTATTAATAAAATATGTATAATACATGTTTTATATAAAAATATGTAGCACAATACAAAAACGAGTTTATTTTAAGTTAAAATATTTATTTAAGTTCTGCTTGATTTTTTCAATAGTTTTTCTTAAATTTTTAATACTTCTTCGATATTCTAACTAAAAAATGTATAAAGTAGTACACTATAAAAATCATGCAATTTTATAAAACATTTGAGTGAAACATTTGGATTTATGAATATATGCATGAGTTTTTGGCACGTTGGAGTATTTTTTAACAAATGTATATTTAATTCTAAATTTTTTTTATAAATATATATAGGTGTATAATTATATCAGTTTTTATGTTACTTAATTTTAAAATTAATTAAAATTTTATCACTTCATTTATAAATAACAGGGCTATTCACGTAACTACCAGAAAAAAGCAAGTTAACTAATATTTTTTGAAGGTAAGGTATGTGAATTTAATGTATTAAATATGTATGTAAATAATAAAAAACCTTAACTTTTCGCTGTGTTTTTTTTTAATTATTCATTAACGAATGATTTTTGTATGCACTATATGAACTTATTCAAATATGTATAAAGATTTTTTATAGCTTGTCTATATTTTTTACCGAAAATTAAAATTAAAAAATCGTAATAGAGTCTTTTATGTAATCCAAAAAAAAGCCATACTGTTTTATTTTAATGTATTTAAAGGGATGTCCTTTAATGGATTTGTTCTTTCTAGTATAAAATGGTTTGAAAATTATTTGTTCCTGTACTTATTTCAAATAATTTCTACAAGAAATTGCACAAATCGTTCTTCAAATTGATCTTAGTTCAACTATGTTTCGATATTATTATTTGTTAGCTGCAAATCAAGAGCAGAATAAATTTCATCAAAATGCGGCCGAGACTCCGGTTGAGCTGCCCAGCAACGTAACATTAAACGATATATTTCCTGTGATGTGTTTTCTGGAGCTGGCATTCTATAGCCTAAAATTTTTTTTATTAACTTTTGCTATATGCATTAAAGCTTATCACTTATTGTGTTTTTTTTGTAATTAGTACAGGTATAACTTGCCTGCATCGATTTTTTCCCGCGCTCTTGAGTTGCTCATTCCAGAGTATGGTGTATCACCTTTTGAAAATATTTCCCACATTAAAACGCCATATGACCACACATCACATAAAGAAGTGTATTTGCCGAAATTTAAAGCCTCTGGTGCGGTCCATTTAACTGGAATTTGTTTCATGCCATCCGAAACTTAAAAGAAAATTTTTTTATTCAGTTGTTAATTCACGAATATCTTATATGTTTGTATAATTATATGCGTATAATTTTCAATTTTAAATTCTAAAAACAACGGTATCCCCTTTTACCAAAATATACACCTAAAATTCACACCAATACAGCAGAAGAAATTTCATTGCTGAATAAGGTTAATTGCATTTAGATAAATATCGTATTTTCAGTAAAATATCGGTTTGTCAATGTGTTATTCTTACTGAATGCATTTTTATGAAAAGTTCTACTTTGGTAAATTTTTGGGCGCCTTGTAATAGTAATTGAACAAATTATATCCCCTAGAAAGGGGATTTTTACTACTAACTAATTTTATATATGGTATAAATATTAAAAAAAATTAATTACCTATGTATTCTTCTTCTTCCCTGGACATCCCAAAATCGGAAATTTTTACAGAATTTTCATAATCAATTAGACAATTTCTAGCTGCAAGATCACGATGTATACAATTTTTAGATTCCAAATATCTCATTCCTTAAATAAAAAGTCAATAAATTGAATGAAAGCGATGTTACGTTATTTGAATTACCAGCAGCTGCATCTTTGCACATTCCTACAAGTTGTTTACTCGTAAGTGTATTAGAATTTTTTCGGAGGAAATTTAATAAAGAACCACCTGAAATTAAAATTCTTTTATCTTCAACTACTTTTTTTAAATTTTAATAATAATAAATAATATAAAAAAAAGTTAATCACACTCAAGATCGAACCTAAGGTTAAAATTTCTTAAAATATTTTGAAAATTTTATATTTTTGAAAATATATTTTTAAACACAAAAAATGAAATTTAAAAGCTTTTGGGTACTCAATAGGTTTTGTGACCCTTTACCCGGAACTAGCTCCATAACAATCATGATAGGTTGTTTTTGAACACAAATTCCTATTAATTTCACTATGTTTGGATGATCATATTGCTTTAAAATGCGACCTTCTTGCAAAAATTTTCTCTTTTGCTCATCTGGTAACGTCATACGACAGGTTTTAACGGCTACGTCTAGCTTAGTTGATTTCAATTTAGCTTTGTAAACATCACCAAAGTTTCCCTTAAAAGAAATCTCTTTAGTTTCTTTTTTTTTTAACTTTAAAAGCATAAGGTATACATATATTCTTATACAATATGAATATGTATGAGACAAATTAAATTTATATACCCTTCCAATTTTTTCAAGTAATATAACATCATCATTGCTTAGCTCCCACCTTTCTCGTAATACAGGTCTTCTTAAAATTGCACCTGATTTTACAGTCACCGGTAATTCACTCTGATATTGATGCATAATTAATTCCTGTATACTAGGGAACGGTGGTCCTTCAAAACGATAATGTCCTTCAACGGTTGTTTGAACAATAAAATGTTTGTGACCGTTCCAACAAACACTTAATACAATTTGGCTTTCTTCATTTCGAATAGTTTCTCGTACCAAAAAATCTCCTTCGATCTTTAACAATCTAACAACTTCTTCTCGAGGTAAAACACCGTGGAACCACTCTTCCTCATAAAGTGGACGATTTGTAGAATATGTCATCTATCATTATTACAAACATCAATTTCAAAATTTTAGTTCTTTCAAAAGAAAATTATTTCTTCATAAAAAAGTTAATTTGTTATTTATTTTGCAAGAGTGCTCATTAATTAACATAATAAAATTTAGTTATCAGCAAGTTAAAACATAACATAATGTGTACATACAGAAATCCAAAGCAAATAAAGTTGTAAAATTACAGAAATAATATAGATAGCCAAATAAAATTTTACATAATATTAAATGATATTAAAGAGCATGAAAAGTTTTTCAATTTATTAATATAGTAAACATTTTTAACAACGAAATTTTTAATTGTTTCATTTTTACATAGTTACAATTCCATTTTTTGACCTACAATCGGTAAAAGTCGACAATCGTTGTTACAGAAAAATAAACACAAGTTACTTATATAAGCTAATATGAAAAAAAATGCAATAGAGTTAGAAAAAGTGCTTATTAAAGTTTATTTTAAAATAGGAAACAAAAATCATTTTACCAAAAATGATTTGGGCCTCTTCTTTCGAACTGGAGGTATTGGCTGCCATACTATTTCAGAACCATAGTTTAATAAATTTTTGCAAGAGCCACTTGATGTCATTGTAGCACTTTTTAACTTTATTGTTCGTGTTTTAAGTTTAATATTTATGATAAACTATGCAAACGAATGGTTTATTAAACAAATATTTTTAACAAATTTTACGTACTATTGTATTTACCGACACGAAATCGCGCTAAGAGTTTAAATATTGGGAGTAAGAAAAATTTTCTCTATAATTATATATTGAATGTGTATGTATGTATACTTAATAACATTACTATTTAAGAATCGAGAATTATTTACTTAGACACTAGTTATAGCTTTCTTCCAATCAACAGTAAAAAGATCACAGAATCGTTAATAAGTTTTTAACATATTTTTCCAAAAATTGAAAATTTTGAAAAAACAAGAATATACATAATATTATAATAGCAAAATAAATTTGTATGTATATATGTATATACTACGTTGAACAGGTTTTACTGTGATTGACGAATTTTTTAATTAAATTATTTTTTCCTGCATTCAAAATAAATATTTAAAAACTGCAATTTTTTTAAGTCTTAAACTTGTGAATTTCAAGGACTGTTAGCAATACTTAATAAAATGATTCAAGTATTTTCGTGTATTTTTGATTTGTCTACAAGTAAACACTTTAATTTTATATAATAGTGGGCGAGCTCTATTTTCTTCAAATTAATGTACATTTTGTATACTTTACTTTTGTCGCTAAATATAACTGTATATGTATGTATAAAGTATACGACTTTGTGACAAATACTTGAATATTCATATGAAATAATCAATTAAATTTAATGTTGACGCGATAAAAATTAAAAATGTGTAGATATATTTGAAAAAATCTATGGAAGGGTTTCGGCAGTTTTTAAAATTTAAAAATAATGAAGTTACAATTTATTAAACATAATAATATATGCTGTTAATAACCGACCAAACAAAAATTTAAACCTGATTTACATGTAGATAAATCTAATTTTTCTTCGTTCCTTATATGCAGTGCTCTTATTTATAAAAAAGAACTGTATTACAAACGGGAAATGAGATCCGCAAAGCATTACCAAATAAAAGGAATCATTTGGAAAAATTTAATTAACCGCCAGAACTAACAATTTCCTCTTTGAAAACAAATTTAAATCATTAATTAAATATTTAAAAGGTCATCTATTCTAAAATGTTTTTCTAGTGTAGTGTTCAAATTGTATAAAATGATGTGTAACGCTAAACTTCCATTCAAAGTTCTATTTTGGTAATTTTTAATATACTGTTGACCGGAAATTTTCGACTTGTTTTTTTAATAATTTTGTATTAATGAAGAAACATGTATTTGTAATGGTAAAATAACTCGTCAATAATATTCCAATGTAAAATTGAGCCTCATATACGCAGCTTAACGACTGAACTCGAAGTCTGTTCAATTTTTGTAGGATTTTGGTATAATCGCATCAGAATCACGTTTGACTTATGAATTTTTGGATAGGAGTTTACCTTTATAAAATATGTTAGAGTACAATGGCTTTTTTCAAAAAAGTTTCAATAAAATGCGGTAAAATTGATTACCTTTAATTTAAAAAATTTGCTTAATCTCTTCATTTTGACTAACAGAGTATTATTTTTTCAAAGATTTTTCAGTATTTTACATACACATAAGGGGTTTTCGAAGTTCGATATTTTCGAAAATTTGTTCACATGGGTTAAAATGTTCAAATCCTACAGATTTGCTTTTTCCAACGAAACTTTAAGTGTGTTTTCATATACCAATTTAATTTTTTCTAAAGTACAACAAAAATTTTTTATTTTTTAAAATTATTTTTTTTTGCATTATTTTTATTGTCTTTCTGTACTACTTCTCTATTATTTTATACATTATTTGAAAATAATTTATAAAATAGCTGAAAATTTTTAATTTCTTATTCCGTGTAAAAAGAACGAACACCACAACTAAATTTTCTATTCGAAAACATCAAAATTTTTTATTAAAAAAAAATGTTGCGTTTTAGTGACGTATAAAATCCGTCTATTTTTAAAATTTAGAGTGAATAAATTAAAAAAAAAGAAAAAAACAAGCACACAACAGAAGTCTTAGAATAATTTCTTCAGAAGGTCAGAATAAAGTTTTCATTTTTTTCCTACTATTTTTTGTACATTTATTTTTCATTTTCGAATAACTAATGAAAAATCGCGAAAATTCACTCGAAAATGAATTATCTGTTCCGGTCTGTTATTGAAGACTAACGATCAGATTTGATATTCTATAGCTACAGGTTGGAAATGGTAATTTTTTTCTTCACCTTTTCATATTTTTTGATACATTCCGTAAAATAAAATTTATGATTCACAAAATAAATTGAACGTTTCAAAATTACAAATGTGGTCTTTTTGTCATTTTTTTAGTACAATACAAAAAGTTCCAAATATGTCATAATTAAGTAATAAAAATTTTTGATATTTTGCAAGCACAGCTAAATACATAATGAAGATGGTGATTTTTTGTAAAACTGGGATGAAAAACTCAACAATTTATTTAAAACACTCTTTTTTATAGCTTCATTTGGGAAAATTATAACTGTACAAATTTTTCACAAAAATCAGAAATTCATCTTAATTATTAATTATCGCAATGGTAAAAATTGTTATATATTTTCCTGTTTTAAATAATTTCTTAAAGTTAAAGCATAAATAAAGTATGAATAAACGTATATACATATGCACATGCATAGCTAAAATTTAAACAATTAAGCGTTTAAATTATGTCCATGCATGCATCCATGCATACACGTACGAATTACGTCGGCAAGGCACAATAGTTTCACCCCTCTACTTGCAACGTCTTTAAAAAATGGCTAGAGTTTAAAAAAACAAATGTATACATATATTGCTGATGTGTTCGGTGTTGAGTTATGTGGCAATTTGGCAATGCCTCTCTTTCCTAATAAACATCCATTGTTAAATCGACTAACGTTCACTTTTGAACAAATTTAACAATGAATTTTCTTGAAAAATTTTAAAATTTCAGTGAATAATAACTACTGTTTAAGTAGCCTCCAAGATTTTTTTAAGTGATATCGTTTCATGGATACTTTGTAAGGAACAATTTTATAGGAAAAATTCTTGAACTGTTCTTGACTTTAACTGAGGACTGTTCTTGAATATATTTTGAATAATACATGAAAATTATTGTTTTCAATAGATACAAGCAGACATTCTAAACTTACGTTAATCATATCAACAAGAAATAATTTTCGTTTTTTTTTTTTTTAAATTGAGAGTTGATGTATTTTAACAGGTTTTAAAATGCATGAATTTTTTGATAAAATTTTTTGACCGAATAACTACAAAAACACGAAATAAACATATAATTTTTTAAATTTTTGTAGACATACAAACGTTCTATAATTTACGTTCTATAATTATAACAAAAGAAAATTCTCTTATTAAATTTAAAATTTAAATTCTAAAAGTGGCGGAGAACAAGTTTTATTGAAAGAGACCAAAGCTTTTTTTAAAAATAAACGCAAATTTTTTTTTAAAATAAAGTTGACAAAAAAGTTTGAGAGAAAATTTTCATTTTTTAAACACTCATACTTAAACGAAAATATAAATTTGTAGTTTGTTATCAAAAAAATTGAAATTCTTTTGCGATGGCATAAAACTTATTTTAGAATCATTTTATATGTATGTATATTAATACAGAAATTACAAGGCAAGATCTTGTGGGAAAATCGAACGAAAAAAATTGGAAATGCGGAATTAATTCAAATTGCCGTTACATAACACTGGTATAATATCTTCCAATCAAATGTTGTATAATATCTTCCAATCATATTTTGATTACACGTTGTCATAGACTTAATATGCGGTGTTGCAGTGCAAACTATACCTAGACCATTTTAAGTAATAATATAAGTGTAGCTTTCAGTGTGAAAAAATCTGACGGCAAAATTTTTGCATGTTTGCAAATACGTACATACGTATATACTTAAAATTTAATTTCAACATCACTTGAAACTGAGATTATTTTTTTTTTTAATTCGTCTTCTGCCGGAAAATTACTCGATTACACTTTCATTAAAATACCTCACATTTATCAATAAAATTTTGAGCGTTATATATCTTTAACTTAACAATAAGAGGAAATCGTACTAATTAGAATTGGCGACGAAAAAAGAAGTAAACTGAATAATAAAAATTTAATTCAATTCAAGCAGGCTATAATGTCGTAAGCTTTGCATACACATGTTCTATATTACTTCAGCGTTGATGCTATTATTTTACTATTTTTAATAAATAACAAATAATCATACATTGGTCAAGCAGGTTTTTACAGATCTACAAACATTCTTTCAAAATGCAAATATGTATATATAAAATTTAGTATCAAAAGTGTAATCGTGATGCTTTTTTGTTACCAAATTGTAAATTCCTTTACTCACTTCACCAGTACTAAATGGTTCACAATAAGTGTGATCTTTTGCTGTTATGATATCTTCTGTGGAACTTGAAATACCAGAAAGCTCACACGGTACGAAAAAATTTTTATTATCATTTTTACTATTAGTGTTGTTAGTAAGATTGTTAGTAATATTTTTTGAAATATCATAGCTGGGGTTTGTAACAATTGTATTTGTTGTAGGTAGTGGGATTGTTGGACAACTACAAAACTCGTTTTCGTTATCACTTCCCATGCTCAATGTTAAATTATTATTAGCGTTTGTTAAATTTAATTCTTTTGAAAGATCAACAACTCGATTAATCGGCTGAATTTTGCGGCGTTTCGAACAACGTTCACAAACTCTTCCACGTCGTATTTGAAAGCTTAGGACTTTAGAACGAAATGTCTGAGTTATTGCTTTCGACTTTTTAATTTTGTTATTTTTTTTTTCTAAACTCTTTAATTTTTGTTTACTTTCTATTTTATCGTTGGATTCGCTAGTTATTTCTTGAAAAACATTCATTTTATTCAGGTCGAAGTTTTCTTCTGAAATGTCATTACCATTTTCACTATCGGTTTTTTTCATTTGGTTTGGCGGCAGTTTCGAGTTCATTGCAAATTTAAATTCCTTTATGTTTGTAATGAAATTGTTCAAAGATTTGTGACTAAATGATGTCGATCGCTTTTTTACATTAATCGACCCAGTATTGGTGTTACTTAAAGTACTTTGAGTATGGTTGTTAAAAGTATTTTCGTCTTCTTTGGACACTGAATTCAGTAAATCATTTTTAAGTTTCTCATCAGTATTCGTTTCGGGATTTGAAATAGTTTCTATTTTATCGTCATTAGAGTTTTTTGAGGTTTCTGTGAAAGTTACATAGCTTCCTGAAATATTTTTTGATGTGCTCGGAATGGGTTCCTGCGAATGCTTATTTTCATTTGGCTTTCGAGATTCCACTGTTGGTTCACTTGAATTAATACCAATAATTTGTTTCATTTTTTTATCTAGAACTCGATTGATTTCATCAATTTTATCTAACCTATCATCAATAGACGATTTAGTTTCAATATTATCTAGGTTTAACTTTTGAAAACATTTTTTATTAAGATTTTCGTCGTCTTTTTTTTCCACAATGGAAGAACGATTTCCATCATTAACGGATTGTGATTTTGTTGGTAGTAATTCATTTGAAACCGATAGTTCTAGTTCTGCATAAATGTTATTTTTGTTAGTTAAATCACTCTCAGAATTAGTCTTTCCAACAGAAGCAACAACATTACATACACATAGGGTTTCATCATCATTTTCAAGGTCTTCTTCTGCTATACTTGTGTTATGTAAATTAATAGCGGAAGTACCTCTTTTAATGACTTGGTTAGGAAATTTCTTTATATTAGTACTTGTTAAGGAAACGTCATTGTTAGCGTCCAAAGCATCCAAATTATTTACCGCTAATGATCCTAAACTTTGAGATCGTGGTTGTGTATTTTTTAGTTTTTTCTTTGACTTTTTCCCACTTCTTGGCGTTCTAGGTGATACCGAAACAACTCGGCGTCTTGTAAATGGAGCTCTTAGCATTGAGAGAACATCTCCTCCACGACGATGCAACATGGAAGAAACCGAAGTTGTTGATGTACTTGAATGTGGTATATTCGGTTGCTAGTTTTTCGTTTTTGTTTATTAGATAGATTTATATGAAATTAAAAATTCCCAAAAAAATGATAACACTTTCACCAATATAATTGCATAAATAAAATAAAATGTGTAAAATTAAAAAAAATTGAAATAAATTAATGAATAAACAAAATGTGCGTTTTGAAACCACTTAAGAAAATTATGACATTTATGCTATATTGCAGAATACGAGATAGGTTTGAAAACTTTGCTAGAAATAAAAATTTCTCTGTACCATTTGTGCAATTCTGATTAATTTGCTATTGATTGGATTCTGCTGATTGATACGAATCAGTAAATATTATATTTTACTTTTTTTGTGTTAACGGTATTTGCAAATTGATTAATTTTTAATTTTTGGAAAAAACCGTGATTTCAAAACTGCAACAGTACTGCATTTATATAATTTAATTTATTTGTCCTAACTATCAAATCGTATATTTATATCGTACTGCTACAATTTTGAAGACATATTTATAATGTGAAATACTTATATATATGTATACGTATTCAATTACGTGTACTATGTAATCAAAAATATCTCGTAAATAGTATTAGTCGAGTTGAAATCAACTTCCCACCATTTTTTATAAATTCATGTTGAAAATAGTTAAGTAAGCTACTTACTTGCTGATCATTATTTATAATATTATTTTCAACAAAACTTTGTTCCGCTAGATGATCGTCACATCCAGATGGTAATTCTTCACAGCCAACTTCGCTTAATGCACTTTTTATCATGTCCGCTAATTTTTGTTTTTGTTTTTCTTGGCACTTTAAGGAATTTAAGTCTTTAGATTGTCTAAAAATGAAGTTTTTGTTTTTTATTATCTACGTTATAAACAAAAAATTCAATAAATACTTTTGAGTTTCTTTTCCAGAACCGTTGATTCCATTAGCTAAAATTGGAGAACTATTTGAGTCGCCAACTAGTTTTTCTTGTTTTTCTTGAGCTTCTTTAACCGCATTTTCTAGATCATTTAGACGGGATCTTAGCCAATCAACAGTTAAATTATCAACAGTAAGCGTATTTGATTGTAATTTTCCTGGAATATCTTCAATAAGGCTTTCATCAAACTGAAACAGTAATGGCGCAGCAGGTGAAGTTCTAATGAAAACAAAAAAATAATTTTTTTATGTAACAATTTAAATATAATTATTCGTAAATTTAATCTTCGAAATTTCTAAGGAACATAAGGGAAGTTCATACTTATACTTAAACTTATATATTTATATTAACTATACGTATTTCATATTTTTAAACTAATTTTTTAATAAAATTTATAAACAAAAATTATTAAAGGATAGCTAAAGATCTCAATTCTGAATATTGAATCGCTGAAAGTGAATAAGGTTTCGCACAGCACAGAAATCCAATTTTGCATAGAAATGAATCAAGATGGAATAAAATAATTTGTCATTTAATGTTGATTATATAAATATTAAATATATTTATATAACAACCCCAAAATTTTAAGTTTTGACGATCAATAAATTGCGTATGTATACATATATGAAAAAAATTACTGATTTTCTACATAAGAACACTTAGACTTTGTTTATATTCAAAATGATCTATTATTTAAACCGTCTGTTGAAATTACTTGTGTTTCTCTGTAAACTCTCGGTACTCTTCACATGGATTTATGCTATTTATGGCTGCATCTATCCTCCTTTGAATATCTTGGAATTTATTTGAAATTAAATCACCATGTTGACTTGCTTCTTGTAGAATATTCTTCCTAAAATTCACGTTTGATGTATTTTAAATAACATTTATTGAAAATTACATTTAAGTATATTATTTTAAAGTTACCATAGCAAAATAAAACTTTCTTGCACCGATTGTTGATGCTCTAAGAGCCCCGGTAGTAGAATTGTCCTAAAATCTTTTTCAACCTCAACAGCTTCCGTTATGGAAAGCACGTACTCATTGTGTGTTAAATGTAGTTTACGACAAGCTTTTTGATATTTATCTCTCACATCATCTAATTTTCTACCACTTCGACCAGCTTAAATTGAAACAAATTACGTATAATAACACTAATAACATTTAAATTGCATTCAAAATAAAGAAAAAAATTAAATATCTTACATTTAATATAGTGCTCTTCAAATCGTGTCCTTAAAGCTTTATACCCTTCTAAATGTTTTTGATATTCCGACTTTTTTCGAACAACTTCATCTGTGAGCTGAAAACAATTAAAAAAGATTAAAAAATAAGACATGTATACACTAAGTTTTTCGAAGTTAAACATATTTTTCCAAGTACGACATTTAAAATCGTAATAACATTTCTATATTTTCAGTTAAATATTTAGTAAACAGAAAGCATATTCGCTTTTTTTATTAAAATATAGAATAATTTTTTAAATTCATAAACTAGGCTGCAGCTGGTAATGAAAATAATGTTTTTTTATCCATACAAAACCCGTTTTTTTAACATTCCGTTTTTTATACATACATAGATAATAAATATAAACACTATCTACCTATAACTTAACCATTCTGTTATTTTAATGTCAAGTTTCTCTTATTTTAAGACTCAACCCATACGGAAGCAATAAAAATAATGATTTTTGGACTTTCTAAGTAGAAAATAATTTCTGAGGAAAAAAATATGGAAATTTTATATTAAGATAAACATATTTGACCGAGACTTTTTGTTGAACTAGTTTTAATTTAAAATAGCTGATTGAAGATTTCAGTAATTAAAGAGGCAAAGTAATTCAGGCGGCATCTCTTTTAACTCGATGCCAAAACTTGTGATTATATATTACGAGCAAAAACGTACAATGAACATAGTATTATTGATTTAAAACAATGTTGAAAGAAAAAATTACTTTAAAAATAAGTGGTGTTTGAAAAATATAAATTTAAAAGGCGCCTTTAAACCTTTAACACACAAAATAATACATTTAGCTTTGTAAAACAAAAAACCTTTTTCAAAAAAAATATGTATTTAATTTACGCATTTGTACATATATAATGTAGTTTTTACATTTCCGAAACTATATTGCTTAATATTATAGTCACATTTCTTTTATTTTCACGTTTGACAAATACTGGTAGCATAGTGCATACTTTATGAACTTGAACTACAAAATATTAATCAAACACATACTTAAAAACAAACAGAAATTTGAAGCTTGGTAAAAATTGTATTTCATTGAAATACCAATAAAAATCACTTAATATCCAATAATACCCAATTAGTAAAAGGTTACAAAAATTACCTCGAATAGATTCTCTTAGTTTTTTCAAAAAAAAAAAACAAAGTAAAAAATATCATGAACAGTTATTATATTATGTGTAGTGCATTTGAATTGATTGTACATAATTATGTACCATCCATAAGAAAATTTTACAGTGAAAGATAAATAAGCCGCCCTTTTGGGAAAAGATAATTATACATTTGGCCAACATTAGCATAATTATACTAAAATTAGCATATTCCCACCATCAACTATCAATGAATCAATGAATGTCAATTTTACAAGATCACATCGGCCGTCACCCGTCCGCTTATATTCGCTATCATTGCAATTTCAATTGAAAAATAAATCGACTTGTATTTAAGTATTTACCCATTCTTAAACTACATTTAACTAGAAATATCAAATTGTTTGAAAATTACAACTTAATGACAACAGACACTTTTATGCAAATAAAATATTCGTTTTAATGAAAAATTATTCCAAAATTATTTCCTTAAAAAAACTTCAGTTGTCATTCAAAGAAAAACCGATAAAAAAATTATTCTGACATTCATAATTCACTAAACAAAATTTTTTAAGTATATATTTATGTATGTATTCAAAAAGCTTCAAATGAATCACTTGAAAGTCAATGAAAACTTCTGTGTGGGTAGAAATGAAAATAGTGTTGATTCCTTTGACAGGTCAACTATTTTTCTATTATTCTTCACAATTGATATTGCATTGTGTTATAAGCAGATAAGATACAATCATATACATAAATATGTTATACGTATACATATATACATACATATAGATATGTACATATGTAAATAAACATATAAATTTTTAAGGCTTTCATTACTAAGAAAGGTTAGGTTGTTCTTTGCATTTTTCATTAAAAAAGTTTTCTATAAAAAAAAGCTGGCTTTTCCCCAATATTTCGAAACTTTTATTCAATACATACATATGTATGTATAGGTTTGCATATGTATATCATTCAGTTATTATGAAATTGTCTAATATTAAGCTGAACTTATAACCTCTGAGTTCAATGAAAATATTATGTGTATACAACCGAATACGTAGGAATTAAATAATATAACAGAGGCGGGGAACCTTTTTACCAATGGAGGCCAATAATAAAATATATTACAATAACTAAGGCGACCGCATAAGTTTTAATATCAATTAACGTAGCTTTAGTACAGTTATTGTTGTGCAAATTCTATTTTATTTATTTTAAATTCAGTTTTTATTTATTCCAAATGATTTTGTTTTTATTTTGATGTCAATATTTTCTTTATGTACATATATGTACGTACTATATGTGAATATGTATGTACCTAAAAATACATATAAAAATTAATAAAATTATATTAATAAAACAAAAAATCAATTCAATGAAAAGTAAACAAGTAAACATAAAAGACAAAAAAACAACTTCAAATTCATTGTTTAATAAATTTAGTTCAAGTTAGGCTATATTTAGTGAGATATTATTTGCATTTGTTTTTTGCTTGAAAGCAATTGAATATTTATAGGGCTTACAAATACAAAAGGCGAAGGGGTGGAACCGCACAAAAACCTTCAGAGGCTACATGCGGCTCGAGGCGGCGGGTTCAACACCTCTGCACTTATTTAACATTATATAAGCAAGTATAAGCACATATAGATGGATGTACTTAAAAATGTTAATTAAATAAATCTAATAGCATAACTGTAATTTTTCAATGTACATGTGTATGTACATTGAAAAATATTATTAAACATAAATTTAAATGAAATTTGTAAAATTACAATATAATATATATTTAGTATTTTAATAATGACATTTGTGGGTTCAATAAATACATATATAGGTATGTATGTGTATGTTAATGTTGAATATAAGTATACTAGCATATATTATATTCATCTTTTCTGATTTGCTCAGTATATTCATACCCATGCTTATTTCACTATTAATTCAAAAGATTTCTAGTTTTATACACGACTAAAATCCGTCGTTTTTAAAGTCTTCATCGTTAAAGATTTTGAAATGTGATAGATCCAACTTTTTACAGGCTTTGTAACAGTACACTTTAAGTACTTTATATTAAATTATCTTTGTTATGAATAAAAAAGCAAAATTAATTTTGGAATAGCAAAAACACATAACCTACAGTAGAAAGTTATTTCTTTTGGATCGATCCAATTTGTAAATATTTATCACAAAATTTCATAAGCAATTAGAATTCTATTATAATAAAACTGATTTTACCTTAATCAGAAAAATAAATTGTAATGTAACTAATACCAAAAAAATGAAACGATTTACTGATTAATGACTTTTTTATTTGCACAAATTGTACGCTAAAGTTTCAATTTAATAGTGAAATTTTGCTACTTCTTTTTCGAGAATGAAAACACTTGCAGTGCTGCATAATAATCGCTTTACGAGTTTATACTCCTAAAAATCATAACTCACTGAACATTGAATTATGTGAAGCAAAAATATTTTGGCACAAATAAAAACATTTCTACTACAGAATTTTCATTGTACATAAATTTGCATAAATATTTTGTCACGGTTAACATAATATTTAGCTAATTTTCCGTAATATTATTGTAAAAATTTTTTTTCACAACCAAAATACAAAAAATTCTTTATGTCTTAATAATTTTTAGCACTTTTCTAAAAAATTTTTTGAAAAAAGTGCTTATTAGTTTCACTCTGTCCGTCCGTCCGTGGATACTTTTTTTGTTTACAAAACTTCTACACCCTTGAAGATAGAAAGCTGAAATTTCATACGTACATAGATCTTCACTAGAAACTTATTTCCGTAGAACAAAATTTTTACCTATCTCCCCCCCTCTAGAAGTTATACCCCCCCAAAACCCTTAAAATGGCCTTTTTTAAATATTTGTTGCAATGAAACCATAAGCATTTTTGAAATTTTGCAAACGCAGATGGCCGTTCAAATTTGCCGTTATCTAAAGTCCTTTTTTTCCAAATTTTTGATGTCGTTTTTCTTCTAGATCCCATACTCTAGAACTTTGAAATTTTAGGGGCTCTTAGACATTAACAAATAGTTCATTTCGTTAGAAGAAAATTTTTTTCCATCTCCACCCCCTCTCAAGTTATTACCTCTTGAAATTCGCAAAATTTGAATTTTTGGCACCTTATATTTCCGAAACCGCAACCTTTTCTAAATTTTTATAAACTCAAAAAGCTAACGGTAAATTCCATGAAATTAAAAAATATAATTATTTTTCTTAACTCACACAATTAACCCTTAAAATCGAGCATTATGTTAACCCCTTTTTATGTTAATTTTTGCTTTATTTCATGGACTGCATATATGCGTCATCCTAAATATATGCAATCCTAGAAATAGTTTTGTATATGAATGAAAATAATTTTTATAGTGTGATAGGTATACATAGACTGTATTTAAAAGCAGAATTTTCACTTGTTGAAGGGAAAGGTGCTACAATACAAACCATTGGTTTGACCCAACTTTATTATTTTGAGCTCTCTTAAACCTTTTTGATACATATTTTTATTTGTTCGAGGTGACTAAGAAATGTCTCTGCGATCCACATTCAATATACTCCTCGAACGAAGAAATGTTTTAGGCTTGGGCAATGTGCAACTTTTTTTGTAGAATTTGAGTTTTGTAAAAGATTTTTTTTTAAATTTAAAGCTGTGATATAATGTAAGGTAAGTAATTTTTGATTTCAACAATAACGTATGTACGTATGTTTGTATATCAAAATTGATGTTTGTTTTGATTTCAACAATAATGTATATATGTATGTTTGTATATCAAAGCACCGTGTATATAAAAATGCCTGCAAAAAAATGGTATTCTGCCAATTTTAGTGAACATACATACAAAAAAAAAGTAATAATTGCCTTCAAATGGAAAATTGACAATAAGTTAATTACATATATATTGTTGTTGTTCATAAAATTATGTACAGATGTACAAAGTTTGCAGGAAGGTATC